AGCTCTCCTGGAACGTCAGTTATCCTGAGCAAGCTGTGCATTTCCAGCTCCTCATCAGGGATCTGCACTTCGGGCTCCTCTTCGGGATGTCGGACAGGGGCGAGTTTGAGAACGCGGATCTGGCTGTGCTCTGGAGCGACGGGCACAATTCGTATTTTGGGGTGAGTCACTCGTGTGTTTGCATGGCTGCTTTTGGGGTTGCCTCCCGAGGAGTGAATCTGGATTGTGGGTTGAAAGAGCGGGACTGGTCCAGGGCGTGGAGCACGCTGGTCTGCTCCCGCTGCTTGGGAAAAGGGGTCCAAAAGGGCTTGGGGGTTTCTATCCCAGAGGGAGCCACAGATCAGGTCTATGTTATGGGTTTGGCATAGGATCTGGAAGCCAGGGAGAAAAGGAATACATAGAGCAGCACACCAGCAAGGCTGAGTAGAACCAAACCCTGGGTGTTTCTGCTGTGCTTAGCTGCGGAGACCCCCAAGAGGCGGCTGCACAGACCAGACCAGCTCGCGCTCACACGCAGGATGCATCGACACCTTGGTTCACTTGTGCGCTGCCCCATCATGTCAAAAATTAACCACAGCTCCCGTTAATGACTTCAAGACACTGCAAAAATTATCAGCCAGAAAAGCTGCTCCTGCCAGCACCAATAACCCAGCTGCGAGTCGCCTCGGACGTGCTCACAGAGACGGGCAGGACAGAGGGAAACACAACCTGACGGCTGCCCGCCAGCAGCACCGTGCTACCAGAAATTAAACATGCAAATCGTGCTCGGCTGCAGAAAGCAATTCACGTTTTTTCCCTATGTGAGGCTTTCCAGAAAGTTAAATTTTACCTCTCTGCTTCAAATTAACCATAAAATACATTCTTTCACCATCAGCTCTGATGTGCAGTGTAATGAAAGGATGAAAAGGAGGGCTTATTATCTGTACTGTTTTCCCGCTAATCACCAACCATTCAGGATGTGTGGTGGCCCAAACGCTACGGTATTTCACAGCATCATGTTAAAAAACCCATAAAGGATCATTTCTAATCTGCCTTCATGTGCTCACTGAAAGACAAACAGCACTGAATTAAGCACTGGGCAGCATTTGGGTTTTCTCTTTCAGTTGGTGCTGAACAGCACCCTGCAAGGAGATTTCTATAGATCTCACCAGTCATGGTTTTCTCTCTCCCAGCATCCTTTCTCCTGGATATGTATGTCATCTGTTAAAAAGATCCAAAATTGCCTAACCCCCCATGTACTATGAGATTAATTTGCACACCATATTCCTATAAAAACAAATGTCATGCTAGCTTCATCGAGCTGATTTTACTCACCCCCTCTAAGGACAGTATGTTCTCGAAATTCCACTCTATGCTTCTGGCTGAAATGATGCCAAGATACTTTATTCTTTTTCTGCTATTTTTTTCCCCCAAGATAGGAAAACGAATGGCACTTGTGTACATACAGCAAGATACTTCTTAGGTGCCTTTTCTCAGTAAACAAAAGATAGCAACAGGAGTTGCAAAAGACCTAAAAAACAACACTCCTCAAGTCCAGTTTATTGCAGGATTTTATACTCCAAACCTTCAAATCCTTAAGCACAGGAGTAACCTGTTGCTTTGCTTCTCGGTGCGGCTTTGTCACCATCATCGACAGCGAGCAGTTTTTGGGAGGCCTTGCTGGGCTGCAGGAACAGTCTGTCCACAAATTTAAGTATTTCCAAGAGGGGTAGTGATTTCTAGGGCTGACACTACAGCCCAGCAAGGGCCCAATCTTAAATGGCAAACAGCTGGTTTGTGGTAAGGGTCTTGGAGACTACATCACCCCCTCCCAAATGTCCCCCCGGCTAAATACACCCAAAGCACAGCACAGACTGATGCAACACCTTCACGTGCCCCTGAGGGCTTTCCTCGCCCCAACCTTCTTTACCCCAGTCGCATCTCAACTCGTAAAGGTCGTGTAATAACAGACTATTAACGCTGGGTCACAGGTTTCACACGTCTGCCTGTGCCGAGCACCGAGGGTCTCGTGGCAGGGGCCGTGCCGGCACAACTCTGCCCGTGGGCTGCTGAAGGGTGGCATGGGGCATCCAAAACACAGGCTGCCTCCACCTTTGGGATGCGGAGGGTGAGCCAGCCGGGGGGTGAGCAGGAGGAGGACCTCATGACTCGGGGTACCACTGGAGGTCACCACCTCAGCTACACGGAGCCAGCGGAGCCTCCTGGCTTAGTGGGATGCTCTTCTTCCTGCAGGATGCCTGGAGTGATGCCAAGGGGCAGCTCCACATGGACCCGCAGCAGGACTACCAGCTCCTCGGGGCTCGGAGGGCCCCCGAAGGGCTTTACCTCCTCTTCAGAAGAGCCTTCAGCACCTGTGACCCCAAGGATTACCTTATAGAGGTATGGCATGGCCCTCACCCCCCAGCCCCATCCCACCCCTGGGGCACCAAGCTGGGCTCCAAACCCCAACCTGCATGGTCATACCTCACCGGTGTTTTGTTTTGGGGACAGCATCGGGCGTTCGCGCTGTCTAGGGCAGAAAGGAAGCGTGCTACAGATGTCAGCCCTGGGACATGAGTAATGTTTGGCACAATCTAATTACAACCCCTTATAAACCTCTATAAAGTATAGATTTTAGCTCGTTTGCATCATCCGCTCCTGTTGAGCATGTGTTAGGTCTATATAAATACCCTCCTGCATCACTCCGGTTTGCAGTCTGGAGCGAAATGTTTGGAGTGTTACAAAGAGGTGTTGGTGTTGTTCAATGGGAGGCAAAGAGGAAGGTTTTGGCAGGAGCTGGAGCAAAGGGACGGCAGATAGAGCCGCTGCAGCCTGCTTGTGTGTGGTTCGGTGAAGTCTCACTGGGTCTACGTTCACTGCTCCTCCCTGAGATAGGATTTCGGATGTCAAAGAGGTTTGGGGTCTCAGCCATGGACTCTGGGTGTGGGCAGGAATCGACACAAGGCTCATTTCAGATGAAAGCCTTTGGTGGGCAGGCTATTTTAAAGCCAACGTGGGCATCGAGCATCCTTGAGTTTCTGTTGCTGGTTTTCAAAAGCTTGTCTTGTGGTGAGAAATGCCTACTGTCTGCCAAAACACAGAGAGCCCTGGAGGGAAAAAAATCTGTGTGTGAACCAGGAAAAGACTTGCAAGGCTGTATTCTCTGATCCTTTAAGAAAAAATTATCATTTTTATCCTTTCTTCCT